CTTGCTTCAAGAACATTAGTTTTTGTTTTTATGTTTAAAAATCCATTACAAGACACAATGGTGAACTCTTGGAAAGATGCAAAAAGAAATTATATGAGTACCTTGTTCTTCTGTATCTTACAGTCTATTTTGAATGAAAAGTCATTTCTATGTAGGTATATCTGAAGAGTTCATCAATAGTACATAGTAGTTCGGAATGGTGTTAGTTGAGTGGCATTTCCCCTAAGAGACATAGCACATGAAAGCAAAATGATTCTCTATTGCCAGAGGAAGTGAAGAAGGTTCCTGGAGGACAGAGATATAAGGTATTTGACAGATGGGCAGAATTGATATGAGAAAAAGGGGAAGAGATACTAAAAATGAGAGGGACCGCATGAAAAACCTAATGGCAGTCAGGATCATGGCATGTCATGTAATTAAGAAGTGTCAACTTAGATTGAATACAAAGTACCTCTTGGTCCAAAATAGGAAAGAATGTTCTAGAAATGAAACTTCATGTGAATGTTAGAAATAAAATTGTACATAAGTTAAAATGCCTCTGGGGTCAAGAAAGATAAATTAAGTGAAGAAAACAGACTGAGTTTATAATGAGAAGGAGTGAAAAAACTATAGTATGGTTGAGGCTGTAGCCCAGGTGCTACAGAAGAGAGGATCACCACTAAGCTCCAGCCAATTCCACAGTGAAAATTGCAGAAGTCAATAACAATGTCTCTGCTGAACACATAACAATTCGTGAGTCATATCTGGTATGTAGACTACTAATTTTCAAGCACTGTTGGATTATAAAAGTCAAGGTTTGCTAGAACTAACTCCTTTGCTTTTTAATCATGTAACTAAGGTTGTACAATAGAGATGCATCATAAGGAAAGTAGAATCTTTTAATCAAATCTTCCAACTTAATTATTAATTTAATCAAGTCAGTTATTTTAACTGATATGAAGAAGTACTTACAGCAAAATTTCAGAAATATTTGTTGATTCCAAAGTCTTCTAAGCTGTGCCATTTGCCTTCAAGAAAATAAAACTATATGCCCCTTTTCTATTTTAAAAAGGAGTGAATTCTGGATGCACACTTTCTAGTTTTGGCCTTATCACGTTCCTGATGGATCAAGCTTTATTTCTCATCACTACCAATTGCCAATAGTGGGTGCCATCGTGATGTCTTGGTCAGGTTCAATTATGTGCCTCTTTTGTTTTGGTCAATGAGCCTGACTGACAGTAAAAACATGTGGGGTTTGGAGGTTTGCAACAGATGCTTTTGAATCTGCTAATTTCTGAATTTTATGGAGTACATAAATCACATAAAAACATACTCTGTCAGTCCACTAATGGGTTGGGTTTTTCACCAATCTAGGATGAAAGATCTGAAGTTGATATTAATAGTATAACTTGTAAGCCTTCACACTGGAATCCAGAAGGCAGCTTATTTAATAAAAAAGCCAATATATTACGTCTTTCCTATCAGGAATTCTTGACAGGTGGAGGAGTTCAGAAAAAGGAAAGAATAAGGCAGAATAAAGAATTTCATATATAGATAACAATATAAAGCCTTTGCGTAAAATGTAGCATACCAGATGTTGACTGCCTTTCACTTAAAACCTACTGTTCGAGTTTGTGAACAATGTAAATTCTCGAAATGTAGCAGGGCAACCTTGCTTCCTAATGCTGAGAAAACACTTAGAAGATAATCAAATCTTGAAAACATGCTAATGAGCCACAAAGTCTGATTAAAATCATAGGTGTTATGTTCTAAAAAAAAAAAACTCTTCTTTGATTTAGGTAAGTTTGGCTTAGGTTTCACCATTGATAACAATATTTTAAGACAAATTTTGGAAAGATTAGGAACCCTCAGTAATAAAAACAATTCATAATTGCTCCTCATTATTTTTAGGGAGCAGGGTTAAGACCTGAGAATTGTATAAAAGAAAAGCAAAAAGAAACAAAGGGGAAAACAAGCCACGTATATAATCATTCACTTGCTAAAATGTGAAGTATTGAAGCTTCAAAACACAAAATTTGACATTTACAATTATTTAATTTCATAACTATTTATAAATAATAAATCCAAGATAGTAAGCAGCTAAGAACAAATATGAGCATCTCCTATTAGTTAACTGTGGAGGAAAGAACAGTTGAAATTATTTTTCAAAGACAATATCTCTATGGGAGAGAAAATGCTCTTATTTTTCTGCTTTGGTTAAGATCAAATTGATCTAATTAGACTGTTCAGCTAATTTATTGTTCATAATTCCCTTTAGTGAGGTGTATATCTGGTAAATTTCAAGGAAAGCTTTTTAGAGAAAAGTTTGAAATTAGGCAACTAGAATAAAACAAAATGAGATATTTTCTCCAAAGAAAAGAATGCGCTAAAAAACTAAAATGACCAAAGTGGAAAGACATAAACTATACTCTTCTATTAACAAGATGCTATTAGTACAGAATAAGCCAGGTTTATTCAATATTTTTATATTTGATATACAGGATATCATTTATCTGGAGAATTTTAATTAAAATGGCACACAATTAACTAGAGGAGAAAAAGACATCCCTCTCTTCTGATTTTGGCAATATGGAGTGGTTATCTGGCTAGGTCATTATAAATCATAGAAGTTTTAATAAGCTTGTAATCAATGTGTAAATAACCCTGTTCCATGTTTATTTTTAGGAACAGTATATCCACAACACATTCCATATTCTCAACACTTTGGAGCTTCACTTCCACTTCCTTGACTATGTTAGATACAACCTCATTCCTACTGAAACCTAGCCCCTAGACAGTGCCTTGAAGGGAGATGCTGGGTCCACAAGGCCCTGGTCTCCTAGTCACTCTTCTTAGCTTAACTCACTAAATCAATGTAGTAGTACGGGCAGCCCTACAAAATTCTAAACCCAGACAAATGATGTGATGTGTTTCTACTATATTAAGTCTTGGAGGGCAATATTATCCCCAGGGATTTTCTTTAGGGTAATTCCAGGTCTGGGCAATGGGAATTCTAGGGCTGGAGCAGAAAGTACCTACTACATGTAGCCCCTAGGCTGACTAAAGCCCAAGTGACCACCATATCAACCAGGTGACACTGTGCAGGCAGCTAACGCAGAGCATCTTGTTGAATCTCTGGGGATGAACAGTGGCTTCCAATTTACCCAATCTCCTAAAGGTCACACTGCATTGTGACTTATCTCAACTTTTTGTAGACTGCAGAGACAGAGAAGGAATGTACAAGCCTCAGCACCTCACCCCAGAGACTTGCACTCCGTTGCAGTTTCACCAGACCTTTCCCTTTCAATGTCACCTCTTAAAAACCCGCAAACAACCTCATTCATAGGATGATAGACCTTGAGAATCAGAGATCTGCTATCCCCTCATCTGTAGACAGATTAAACTTTCTCTTTTCTTTACCCTGAAACCATGTCCTTAGTATTTTGATATGGCATAGGAAACAGGGACCAAGCTTCCAATAATACAGTGGATTATAAAAGTATAAATGAGATACCTCATGCAGACATCATGATAGTAAAGAGCATGTTCGCAAAACTTTACTAACATGATTTAAAAATTGAGATAGGGAGGGGCAATATATGCTGATCTTGGCAGACTTTATCTCTTCAATTCTCTACAAGTAATTTTCATTTGACTAAAAGAGGACACTTGATAACATTTTCCTTTTACATGTAATTCATTAAACAGAAGGTAGAAGAAAACCAGGAACACAAATAATTCTGACCTTGATTTATAGCAAGAAAGGACCATTTAAAAATCATTTAAATCCAGTTTATGGAAGAGATAATGAATTATACAATAATTCCCTTAAACAAGTAAATATATCGCTATTTAAAGTGAAAATATAACTATTATATGGTCTATTTCTGATACCAATGACTTTGAGGAGTGGTTTTAGGAATATAAGGTCAGTATCAAGAGTTGCAAAAGTATCTCCTTTGTGTTTCCTTAACATATTTTTATTGTTTTGCTAATATAATGACAAAACTACGTGTCAAGATTCATCACTGATTTTCTATATCAACATGCCAGGAAATCAGCAAAGTTCTCTGCAAACCTTTGTGAGTTTGTGGTGTAGCTTTTCAAAAGCAATCTCTAGTGCAGGCTATTCAACTGATGGTGTATTTCTCTTAATTCACTTCAAGGAACAACTGAAAAAAATTTTGTTCCTTCCAAGTCTTTGATTAAACAATGTACATCTCTTCCAAATTTAATACTCCTTGTGCATAACATCAGCAATGATGCTGTAGGATCAATGATTTCAGCATACAACTTCAAATATGTTAGGAATCACAGAAGGACTATCACAACAGCAAAAAATCAGCCTGAGGATTTCACAGATTCACAGAGTTCTCATAGAAAAGAAGTCTGCCATCACAACTTATATAAACAGTTTATTGCTCTCTTGTGTGTAAATCCATATAGATTCTAACACTTCTGTATGTTTCTTTGAGAAATAACAATAGCATTAAAAATAGGAATGTCATTTTACTGAGTCATTCAAAAACTAAACATTAACTGGCTGATTTTAGGAAAATAAAACTTGGGTGCTACAACCAAAACAAATCTGGGTTCTATTTCTAAGGCAATCAAAGATGATTATGTGCAAGAACAAAATGTTGTTTTGCAAACAGATTGCAGATGAAGGTAGAAAGCATTTTTCTGGAAACATAAAACAACTTTACTCTAAGTAATAGAAACCAAAAATCTGGGATACCAATGACAGAGCTAAAAGAGGGTCTGGAGACTATTAATACTTTCAATCACACTGGAATAATTACATATCTGAACAGTGCTGACATTAATAAACACCCATACGTGGCTGAGGTCTGACTTCTCAGAGATAAATTTCAAATTATATAAGCACAAGATGCAAGCACTGATCAGACAGCACAGAAATATACTGTGTGAGATCCTCTTTTCCATATATATGAATATTTGGCAGCCATGTGCATTCCAATATCAGGAACAATGCAACTGTTACAGGGACTGAGACTTACCAGTACTTGTAAGGAAGTTAACATTTCTCATGACGCCTTCAGTGTAAGCCCCTGGTTCGTAACTGTCCATTTCACCTGTGACGATATGCGCAACTCTTGCTGCCCGTCCCCTGATAGCACCTGCAGCACGGTCTAAATTATCAGCATCCTGGTCTCTCAAGGCGATGATACACTTGTTGACATCTTCCAGGATATGGCTTTCTGTAAGTCAACAGATCAAGAGTCAGAACGTGTGTTTGTGTTGTTTTAAACCACACAAATCTAGCCTGTTATAATTGTTTAATTCTGACTTCAAATAGAATGCAAATAGTCTGGAACATATGAGAATTAGTTTATGAATAAAATTAGTAATATACTTTGTTTAAATCTCTTTTACATAAGGAAATACATGACATACAAATTTTACATTTTGAGAGAAATTTTTATCAATTATGTATTATTTTAGATTCTAATTCCAGTAGATTAGATTTTAGACTTGAGAGATATACAGGTAGAAATTAAGGACAGATTTGAAATTTAAATGAAAATAAAATGCATAATGATGGAATATTGAATTATTTTAAACTTTATTTTTTCAAAGGCAGAAAGGTGGAGAGACAGAGATCTTCCATCAGCTGGTTCTTTCCCCAAATGCCTACAAACCCAAGAGTTGGGCCAGGCCAAAACCAGTAGACCACAATTCAATCCAAGTTTCAAAACTAGGTGGCAGGGATCCAACTACTTGAGCTATTATCGCTTGCTGCCTTCTGAGGTGCATGTTAACAGGAAGTTGTAATTGTGAGTACAACCTAGACTCAACTCTTAAATTCCAAAATAGGATGTGGGCATCGAAAGCAATGTCTTAACCACAGTTCCAAATGCCTGTCCCAGGAATGCTGAATTCCAGATAAAAACAATACTATACAGATTAGTAACTCTTCAAAAATATCACCTTTGTTAAATACTCACAGAAGGAAAAAACAGAGCCATGTAGTTCCATTTAACCAATGTTCATTGACTCGCTATGGGTTTAAAAATTATATAAAACTTGTAAACTATTAAGTGATAGAAAATGTGAAAAATTTAAGTTTAAGTTGTAGGGCAGTAAACACACAGGTCTATGAACATATACACAAAGTTTTTAAAAATTGAGACAAATGAATCCCACAGAAAGTCATCTACTCTGAACAGTCTCTCTAGCTTTCCACCTCTCCCCACTTTGCCTGATTAAAGCATGGAGACACTAGGAGGTTATCGTGCACAATACTTTCTTTCTCTATAAATTATTAATATTCACAGATAAAACTAACAGAAGAGTAAATATACAGAGTACCAACCAACAATGGCAATAATACTTCTAAAAGATTGATAAAATAATAAAAATCAGTGTTTTGGCTTCTGATTTTATCATATGAATCCTTAACAATTTTACATCTTTAACCATTCTTACCTGAATGCGCACACAAATAACAATTTCAAGAATATCTCAGTAACTCCAAAAACATTATTAACTCTGTTTCTCTCTCTCCCCCTCTCTCGATCCCTTGTGTATGTGCTGCCTACCTGTGAGTAAGCTACATAGGACAATCATCAGTAATGAAATTCCTTAAAGATTCCTATCTTTATCTTGTTGCTAGATAATAAAATCAAACTTCCATAGAATATGGTACCTGGTGATCTTAGATCTTACTTCTATCTGCAGGCTTCATATGCTTCCCTTATACATAGTTTGATTTCCAAAATCCTCTATGTTCTTCTAAGCCTCTGTTCTATGGGCATATTAGAACCTTGACCTAGATCAACTTTCTCCTTTTTCTGCTTGCTCTACTCTTTGAATTATTTCACATTTCAAGTCCAATGTTTCTTGTTTAGGAAATCCATGCTGACCAACTCATTTCCTATAACAGATTCATTTGGTTCAATATTGTTTGGAATTCCCATAAAGTGGTTTATGGGCTCCTATTAGAGTTTCTTCATGCGTTTTAATGATGCACTTATAAAAAGATCTAACAGACTGAAACATATCCAAGGGCAGAAATTCTACTTTTTGAGGTATTACGTCTAGTTTGTATCTTAATACTTGGTAATTGTTGCCTAACAAGAATATTCAATGATTGAACAAACCTATTTTATATAACACATCAGTGATAGTAATTACATCATCTAAATTTAAATTCTAGATTATGAACACAGGCGCACACATTTCTGTGGCCCAAAAAAATTAGTCAATTTAATCCATGTCAATGAAACTTACTTTAAAAAGGTAAGTACTAAAATCTTAGTTTTTGTTTGTTTGTTTTTGTTTGTTTGTTTGCTTTTTTTTTCGAAAGTGAGAGAGAGAGAGAAAGGTCTTCCTCTTGCCGTTGGTTCACCCTCCAATGGCCGCTGCGGCCGGCACATCGTGCTGATCCGAAGCCAGGAACCAAGTGTTTTCCTAGTCTCCCATGCGGGTGCAGGGCCCAAGCACTTGGGCCATCCTCCATTGCACTCCCTGGCCACAGCAGAGAGCTGGCCTGGAAGAGGGGCAACCAGGACAGAATCCGGCGCCCCGACCGGGACTAGAACCCGTTGTGCCGGCGCCACAGGCGGAGGATTAGCCTATTGAGCCGCGGTGCCAGCCACTAAAATCTTCATTTTAAATTCACTAGTGGTTTAAACAAATTTTTATCACTCAGCCATGAGTTTATCATTAAGGCTGATAATAAACCCAGGCAGTCTCATTTCAGTAGAAAGTTCAATTGTAGCATCACCATATTTCCCCTAGAAATGCAGTACAGGTTTGAGTGCATAAGGCATAAAATCATCAGTTAAAAAATGAACAGTTATTCACTCTGGCAACATGTTAAGAAGTGATCATTTCCCAAGTACAGTAGGAACTTCTCATTTTGAAGCAAACAGAAATGCATATATATAAGGAATGTTTAATCCATTCACTAAATGTGCTTAATTTTATATTACAGAGATATTTTTGTTCAGTCTTATAAAAGTGAAAAAATAGGTAAAAGTATGTCCTTTCTGAGAAGATTAATCATCCAGTAAGGTCTGTTAGGTCTGTTTAATTTAAGATGAAACCTTGCTTCCATAAACTATTTTTTTCCTAATGAATTTTGTACAAGAGAAAATAGAGAAGGAAAATTCACTAACAGAGAACTCAGTAATCATTTCTTTTACAAAACACAGATATTTATATCCACCAAGTTATTATTTAAAGCAGATAATAAAAACAGCAAGGATTTTTTCTAATTTTTTTATTGGCTTCACAAAAGTTTGCATTGTTATTCCCTGCATCTAAATAATGCTGTCAGAAACTATGGTGTCAAACATATTGAAGAATTATGAGAGTGAGATCAGATACGGAAATAAAACTCTTATTTGAATTATATTTAATTCAAAAACCAATAAGCAAAATAAGTAAGTAGCAAGAAGAATATAACCATATTTAATCTGAAGTAACTAAAGTCAGAATGTTGGAGATGATGACTAAATGATCTTTGGATTACTAAGATTAAATATAGCTCAAAAGTACCAATAAGGGTTTACAAATTTTCCATTATCATGACACTTTCTCATTACCTTGAAGGTTTCACAGAGAATGTTAGTAACATCTATTTGCATCAAGTTCTAAACATAGAGTACCAGAAAAAGAAAATCAAAATGTTGGGTGCCTCCCACATATGCACAATACTGAAATATCAAACTAAATTATTAAAAATAATTTTCTTTGTTATTCATATTTAAGCTGAAATTAAGTAGTTAAGAGAACTTCATGAGTGGCTTCACTTCTTATGCCTAGCTATACAGTTCTTAAATCCCCGGGGGAAAAAAAACCAAACACCTTTCATAATATTTTCTACTGTTCTCTTTTAAAAAATTGATAATGGGGAGGGCTTACTCATTACACACAGTTAAAGTCAGTAGAATTGCTACATCTGTTTTTTTCTGACCTAAAGGTGTACTTGTCCACAATAATTATATCACTTAAAAATGAATTTTAAAGAGAATTTGTTATTATAGAACAAGCACATTTAGAATATTATGTTTTGAAGGACTGACATATAGGGAAGATTTGTTTCAATAGCTTCAGAGTATCAGATTAAATTAGTGATTTGACGTGAGGGGTAGAACATCCTGGCCTTAGTGCAAATGCTGAAATGAACTATTTTAAGAGCAGCGATATCCTGCATTACTAGAATTTTCTATCAATCATTTCAAAGCCATACTGAGATGCAAATGATGATTTCTATTATGCTGGAAATATGTAGGGAAATAAAGGAATTTATCTACTAAAAAGGTACTTCACTTGTTGCAAACTTCTGTAACTGTATCTTCAATGGCTGCATGCATAGCACAAGAGTTTGAAATGCATATTTTAAAAATCTATTAATTTTTAATTAATTCTTCAGCTTTCCATAACTAAAACCAGATTTTGAAGGACAAGTCTATTACCCCAGAGAGAGAAGAAAACAGACAAAATCCAAGGAGAACAAAAAAGTTGATTTATGGCCTCTGACCTCTAAAGTAGAATTTTGTAAATCTATAACCCAGACAACAGAATGAAAGTACAGCACATTTTATTTGCAAAATCCAGACTTTATTGAGAAATAAAAGTTTTTTTCTTTTAATTCCTAAAGTTTGAATATATCAATGGAATATATTCAATTGAATATATCAATGGAAAATACTGAAAAGAAGAGAATTTGTTATAATCCATCACATGGGGAATAATACTCCACAAATTTTTTTCTATTGATATTTGGACACATAAGACAAAGACTCTGAAGAAAATGGAAAAAGAGAAAATGATACTGATTATTTTCTTTAACTTTTATTTAATAAATATAAATTTCCAAAGTACAGCTTATGGATTACAATGGCTCCCCCCCCCCCATAACTTCCCTCCCACCTGCTTCCTCTGGGTCTCCATGGCATGGTGTCCCAGCTCACTGCTATGTGCTTGTACTCTCCCTGTCACTCCACGGCATCTCTTCTTTTAGTAGAATTTCCACTGCAAACTTCCTGCCTACTGTTCCCGGAAATGCACATCCCCTATCTTTTCTCTTGTCTTCCTCTGGTCAAAACCAGCACATCCTCCCCTCCCCCCATTCAGCCATCTAGGACTTGTACAAGTGTTTCATTTTCAAAGATGAATCTGGATGTCATATCCTAGAATTCACTTCAGAAGGAATTTGAAGTATGGGCACCCTGTTCTCTTTATCCTACCT